ACGTGCGAAACATAGGCCGTTGCTTCGATGAGATCGTATTCGTATCTTCAACACGTTTGAAATAAAGTGATCAGCAAACCGCATTATAAAACTTATAAAATACACAGCAGTAATAAAATATTGCACATGTCAATTTTGCCAGAATATTATGAATAAGTCCTGAACATGTTGCAAAATAATAAATACGAAACTAAGCCTACAATGGTAAAAAAAACTAATTCAGCAGACATGCAACCTCGTAGAAAAAGAGCGGAGGTCATCCGGGCAGCGGTAGCGTAGTGTGTTAACGCTCTGGTTTCCTCAGCTTGTGGTCGTTGGTTCGAATCGCGGTAAACGGTACGCGTTATTTTAGACTTTTTTTTTCATTTTATATGTTTTTTCTCACCTTTTTGCATTTGTTCTTATTATTTTAAATATTTTTTCTCACCTGTTTGTATTCATTTTTATTTTTAAAATTTTTTTCTCACCTTTTTGTATTATTTTGTATTATTTTGTTTTATTTTGATTTATTTTGATTTATTTTGATTTAGTTTGTATTACTTCGTTTTATTTTGTTTTATTTTGTATTATTTTTTCTCACCTCTTTGTATTTGTTTTTATTTTAAATATTTTCCCCTCACCTTTCTTAATTCGTTTTTTTTATTTTAAAATTTTTCTCACCTTTGTGTATTATTTTTTATTATTTTAAATATTTTCTATGTTTATGCTGTCGTCGGCACCCTTGTTCAGGATGACAATCACGCAGAAGGTGAAAATAAAAAGTGCGAGCCCACATTTGAATTGACGCAATTCAGAAAACCTGGCCCTCTTGTTTTGTCGGGATGATTCGCTCCCTCCGTGCTAATAGGTGGGTCAGTGTAGTAGGCAAAAAGCGCTAGTCCTTTCAACGAAGAAATAAAATTAATAATAACGGGTACATTTAGAGCAAAATGGGAAAATGTAAGTCGTAAAACTGCCACAGTGATGAAGCCAAAGTTTGTCATGAAAGCGGTCCTTCTTCACCCACTATTGAAACAAAAATACCGCCATTTTAAGGCAGTAATTTAGTTGAGGTCATAGCTCAGAAGCACATCTCTTAATTTTCTGACTTCCGGAAAGTAGTATTTAATTTTGTTCTGGTAGATCAGCGCTATCCCCCGTGTGCCGCCAGGTCTTACTTATACAGGTTGCGCTCCGCAGTTTTACTTATTGTTAGGCCTAAACACTTTTTTACTCCTGAGATTCAAGTACAGCGCGGATAATTAAACTAGCCTTCAGAAATGCTATCGTTCGGCATTGTGACATTTATTTTTCGTAGTGTCAAGGGGTCACATTCACAAACCCAGCAGTGTGTACATCCAGAACGCATTGGTGCTTCTCGCTTTTTTTACTAAAGAAAAAAAATTCTTATATTCGCGTTCCTCTGGTACGGTATGTCGTATAACATAAGCTATTAAAGAGACAGATATCGTTTGGCTATGTGAACATTTAAAATATTTCTCTTAGATGATCGTAACTACCCCATAAAACAGTCGATTCCTGCCCTAAATAGCATATTTTCACACTAGATTAAAATCACCAATAAAATGATCCCTCAGGAGATTTACGTACCTCTCGTAGCGTCATAAGCAATAAACACATCGCTTACTTTTCTACTTTCTGGAAAGTAATGTTTATTATTGTTTTGTAGCTCAAAGCGCGTGCTCAATCATGCCACGTCTTTTTTCTTTTTTCATTTGAGGCTCCGCTATACCGTTTTTATTTTTTATCAGAGCCAAACACGTGTGTATAACGCCAGACCTAAGTATAGTACATCAAATTAAACTAACTTCCTGAAGAAAGTGTCGTTCGGCGTTGTAAAATTTAATTTTCGTGGCGTAGGGAGCCAGATTCTGAAATCCTGGACTGCAAATTTTCCTCACGGCATTGTTTTTCCTTTCGCGTTTTCGCGATAAAACACGTCAGCCTTGCCATGGTGGGATCAAATACGCCAGCGTCGGCAGTCATTTACGAAGGATTGATCAACGCAAACATTTCCACTCGCTACATATGAATCGCCGCAGTTCGTCGGAATCTCAATGACGTGACTGCGTAGTGAAAAAGGCAAAAAAAAAAAATAGAACGATGCCAGGCAGTAAACGGAAGTTCCCGGGGCTCACCAGCCTGCGAACAGTAAAGCGCCGATGCTGGCCAGTCACTGAACTTCCATGTAAATACTGCCCATCAAAGACAGCAAAATAGCGATGCCGGCCAGTTACTGAACTTCCATGTAAATACTGGCCATCAAAGACAGCAAAATACCGGTTCCGGCCAGTTACTGAGCTTCCGTAAATACCGGCCATCAAAGACAGCAAAATACCGATGCCGGCCAGTTACTGGAACCTCCATGGAAAGACTAGCGAGCAAAGACAGCAAAGACCCGATGCCGGCCAGTCACTGTAACTTCTACGGCTGGACTGGCCAATGAGCAAGACGAAACCCCGACGCCGGCCGGGGCCGGTAGCTCCCCGGTGCCCATGGCCAGGCGCTGCCATCCTGTTACCATGGGCGGGCCGGCGTTGTCCCAATGTCCCGATACCGGCCGACGCGGAGTGCTACCTGCATCTACATGTCGACTGGCACCATATAGTCCCATATATAGGAGCATCAGGCATCCTATACTGTTATATATAGCATATATGGCAGTCATTGGCACCATATATGGCTTTATCTGGCATTATATGTCGTCATATATGGTGTCACCTTACCGTATCTGCCCTGATTCCAGCCCTTATATGGCAATATATGACCGTATGTGTCTACTTATATGCCCATATACGGCCCTATATTAAACATATCTGGGCCATATATGACATTTCTGTAAGGGCTGGCGCGGGCCGGAGAGCAGCGCTAACTCGGTTATCATTGGAGCATCCTAGATCGCCCTTGATCCCGCTCGCAAGAAAATTGCTAATTTTGCTGTTTGGTTTACGTTTACTCAGGTGAAAGCTCCCCAGCAAAACAGGAACAAGGAAGAGAAGAGTGAAGAGAGCGCTGGGGGGGGGGGGGGGGGGGTGCTGTCTCGTCTTCCTTTTACCCGTTTATTCAAAGCGCTTCCACCTGAATTATCCGAATCGGTAGAGCTAGAACCACTACATCAACTATACACTTAACCCCGGGGTCGCCTGCTAACACGTCTTACAAAATTCAGTCGGCAGACACTGTCTGAATCGCGTCTGTTATTTGTATGATGATCCTGTAACATTGGGCATCCAAACACTATCTGTATATACATGTTGAAGGCATTGATATGTATAACCCAAACATACTTCGAGCATTATTTATTCTTCTCCGCAGATACTTTTGTCATCGTGCCGGCAGGCACTCTCTTTTGAATGATGTGTGAGCAATGTGAGTGCGACTTTAAGGTATCGACACCTTATTCTTTGATAGTCTTGTCAGGCGTCTTCATTTTCTAGACTCCATTCTTTTTTTCATTGGGTCCAACCGAAGTCAACCCTGAGATCTGGTGGATTTAATCAAGCAGCGCAAAAAGTGTATTGTCATGCTCACGACGTTTTTGTTCGTTCGTTTATCACCGGCGAAACCAATTTCATGCACAGTGACTGCGGCCTGATCGTGCAGTTCATTTCTTTGCGTGCGTGATTAGTTTACACGGTGATAGCAAACACACAAGGAAACAATGTCATAAAGGTCCATCATTAAAAAAAAATTGCTTCGATCAATCGTAGCACTTGTTTCGGTCGGGCTTGATGTGAAACGAAGTATAGTGAAGCTCGGATGCAATTGGCAAAGAGTCGCGATGCGAAAATATGGGTTTCTGAGCTTTACGTTTAGTGAATTTCGTGAAGTTTAGGCGACATGATTTTGCCTTTTAAGGACTGTTTAACGTGTATTGAGGATGAGATAGCGTTTCCAGGCGATTTAAGGTGAAAGTTCAGATAACTGGCGACAATGACTTCCCGCACCAAGATGACTGAAGAGTCTTATTTTGAAGCGCGGCTTATTTTGGGACTCTAGGCAGAGCCTCTTCCTTCAACGACATTTCAGAGAGTCAGTGGCGGCGTCCCGATCCAGGACGTGAATAGCTCGCCACACAAATGTTTCGGGTCCCGATGAAACGCGTCCCGATTCTTTGAAGTTCTGGGCTAACCCACGCGGGTGAAACAGGCCACAAAATCCCATGATGGACACCTTTGTTTCCTGACTTAGTGGTTTACTGAGTTGCTTTCATTAATGACAGTTATTGACGCTTCTGGAGTACTATGTGGGAATAGAAGCATTGGCCTAGTTGTTTGTTTTAGAGTAAGATTTGTTAAACGGGTCTGGGGCGTAGTTATTCTAAACGACAACAAAATTGGTCAGACGAGCAGCAGGATTATGCTAAGGGTTATTGCGATTCTATTCGGAGAAGTGCCGGTGAAGCGAATAATTGGACACAGGCGCTGCTGTAGTGGCGGCGTCTCGATCCTCAGGTTGAACTTTTGCGTATCGGCCGACAGGCACGCTGTTGATTTTTCTGCAGCCCAGCTGGTGCTTCCTTTGCCGTCTCCTGATACTTTCCCACGGCAATAATGCTGCGGACCACGGCGCATAGTGCTGCGGGTGACAGAATTACACTGTGCTGACAAAACGCACTGGAAATATAGGAAACAAAAAAAAAAACAAAAAAATTGAGTCTGACATATGTTTTAGGAAACCTGTAGCCTAAATCATCCGAAAGTACATACGTTGTTGTCGACCAAGTCAGCCTCCATGACAGTCGTTTGTCGGTTGCTCACGCGTAAACAACGCCTGTATGTTGACTCAGGAAAGCGCAAGACACACAGACACTTCAAAAGGAATGAGCAACCGCACATTAAATAAATAAATATTTAACTTTTGTATGTTTGAGTTGTGTTAACTATTTATAAGTGAGTAAACTGTGAGTACTTGACAACAAAGAAGCAACTGGCGAATATAAATATTTGTTAAGAACACATTTTTAATATTGCAACTAGAAAGTGGTACATATGAACTTCATCTATAAAAGTATATTTCCGACTTCATTCATTCTGAAATGTATAAGAGCAGTATTATGTACACACCAAGCTCACCCATGTTTCTCGTTCATTCACGGCTTTTCTTTGTCGACTAGACGAAAGACGACTGATTGAAAGTCTAAATAAATGCAGCTGATGCCGTTGTACATGCTTCTGCTCCCAGCCAACAAACAGAAGAGAACATGCACATGCTGTTTACATTAACAGTGTCATAAGGAACACAATAGTAGCATAGGTTCGAAGTAGAGCACGACATTCACCCGGAATTACCGTGAAGAATACGGATCTTTTCTGAGATCATCTTGGAGTGTTTGTCAAGCCAGTCTCGGCTCAAACATCGAGCGTCGATTGAAAAGTCAGCTGCGGAGCAGCCGCTCGCTCCAACGCCTTCTACGCGAACACCATCTTCAGAAACCTCGATGACCTTCTCGCAGTACTTATCACACACAAACACTTTGCCCTCCACTTTGAGAGTGCCACAGTCCAAGGAGGCCCGCCTCCCTGCCCTTCTCTCTTCGTGCATCTTCTTGGTGAGTAACCTCCGTTGTTGCCGAACGTTGTACGAATAGTCTTCTCTGATCCCGATCCCAGTGCCCCTTAGTCTGACACTCGCCCTCAAGAGGGGTGCCTTCTTGCCTTCGTCAGAAAGCTTCACCAGAACTGGACGCGGAAATGATGACGACTTCAACCTATAAGCGCTGACGATGTCGTCCTTCGTGAGGTTCATCATGAGGTACGTGCGGGCCAGGCTCAACACGAGGTCTTCGCACGAATCTGGGTCGGGCTCAGTTTCGTTGAGACCAAATACCACGAGGTTGCAGCGTCGCTGTCTTTCGTCGGCCTTGTCGAGTTCCATCTGAGCGATGTTAATCTTCTTGGTGATGCTGGAATGTCTGTCCTTGAGATCGCTGAGCCGGCGTTCCATAAGCTCCATGTCCTTGAGGATGTATCGCATCTCGTTGCACGCTCTGTCTAAGGTGTCCAGCCTGGACACGGACTGTAGGTACAAGTCCTGACACTCTTCAGCGTTGGCGAGCGATGTGTCAGTGGAGGTGAACGGCAGGCTTGATTCGACAAGTTCACTGTCCGTCACTGTGGGCCCCTGTCCGAGGTCGACGACCACCATAGTTTTGATAGAACGTACGGTCAGTCACTGGACAATAACCGTCAACAATTTGGCTAACATTTGGAGGCGTTCACAAATTCATTGTCCGAGGAATCACGGTGTGCTTCCGAAAGCCAGAAACACAATGTTACTTAGGTGGCAGTTCTGAATATACGAGGGTGATCTGCAGAGAAAAAAAAAAACAAAAAAAAAAACAGTGAATACATGACCTGGTGCATCTATCACTGGAAACGAGAGTACACTAATCGCTTTGTGACTGCATTGCATTTTGAAGTACCATAGACTGTCTTATGTATTCGGTTCAGGCCACCTTTTTAGCATGTATTTTTCAACAAAATAATTTCATGAATAATAATTTTAATTAAGGTATCCTCATTACTCTTTCTACCACGATACATTAAAACCTTTGACTTTGACCAATTGAGTGACAGTCAGTAAGCTATGCCTGCGACCATTTCTGTGCCGTGTGATGCAAATGTGGTATGTAAAATTAAAATAGCCAAAATTACAAACATGATCGTTTTGTTATAAAACAGTTTCATTTAATGGTGCCTTAACTAACATACTTTTAGCATTACAACGCGACAGTTTTCAGAAAAACAGAGCTCTGCTCCGTTCACCCCTAAGATGAAATTGCATTGGAATCTACCTCAACGTTGGACAACTAACACATCCCATTTTTGCCACGTACTCAAGTCCACACCCATATCCACGCGCAAAGTGCCGGGTCAGGTGACGAAAAAGAGGCGGCTGCTTGGTCTGGTGGGCACTCAGCTCCCACTGCAGTTTCAACTTAGGTGCGACCGGAGAATGGAGTTCGTTATTATGCACCAGAGTGCTCTAAAGGACATTTAACTAGATATATTATCCTGTTTAGTAAACAACCAGGCTAAATTAGTGTAAACCAATGTCGTAAACAGCTCTATTGACGCTTTGTTAACCAACGCTCCTCAATATTTCATGTCGGTGATGTAATTTCGAATAGTGGAAGTAGTAAGCCCAGCTGCATGGGATCGCAAGCACGAAACTCGATCAGTTCGACGACGACACTTTGCTTCCGATAAAATTGAAGAAACGCGACACAGCAACGCACCACATACAATTTCACACTTTCAATCACGCGTCACATGCTAAAAAGTCAGTGTTGGAGTCACATGTTTTGACAAAAAAAATATCCGGAGACAACGCACGAAAAAGGGGACAAACACAAAACGTCTCAACTTGAGACATTTTCTGTTTGTCCCCTTGTTCTTCCGTCGTCTCCGGTTACTTCGAATATATGTAACATAAACCAGCTCGCCAGTTTACTCACTCTTTCTTCAGTGTTGTAGTCCGCGTCTCTACTTTCCGCTTCAGCACATTTGAACAAACTCAACAAGAACCCGGACGCAACATCAGGAACCAAAATGAGGCGGCGGCCACGAAAAGCAAGTTCTAGGGTAGACGCCGTGGGTCTCCGTTAGGAGGACTGCTCTGTTGGCTGGTGTCCGTGCCGCACGAGACTATGTTTAGCGGCGCCGCGCGTGGGGTGAGACTGTGCCTCCGTCACCGGCGAAAATAGAACCCGGGCGGGCTCATTTTTATTCTTCTGCTTCGAGTTACAGAAGGTCTTCCTACAAAACTGGTCGCTTTACCTCCTCTCATACTTTCACTCTCTTCCTTTTACTCACTCTCTTTCTCTTCTCTCACTTGCTTTCTGTCGGCCGTTTTGAAGTCTACCGTTAAGATTGCAAACTGGCTAACTGTCCTCGTTTGAGTCATGAGAGGGGCTCATATTTAAGTCTACCACGTGAAAGGTGCCTGTTTCTCTACGAGCTGAAACCGTCTTTGTAAGTAAAGCAAGTTCAGTTTGAAGTTCGAATGCTTTGCAGAGCAAAAGTTCGTCTGCTTTTTTGCTGGGGTTGTGGTGACGTCACAACGCCGAGCTCTGATTGGCTCTGATTAAAGGATAGTGGGTAGACCTCAAAGGAAGCTGCCTCGAGGTCTACTTAGTATCCTCCAGCCAGAGCCAATCAGAGCTCGGCCTTCAGACATCACCATAATGCCTGCAGAAAAGCAGGCGAAATTGCGCTCGGCATAGTCATTAAATTTAATAGACGTAGGACGTGGATTTATTATGATTATCGGTCAATGCCAGAATTTCATTATATGTGGAGCGATACTAAAATGTCCAGGACTCGACATGTCTTGCGTTTCTAAAGCTGTCTTTGACTGTAGTGGAGTACTATTGTTATGTCTTAGTGTAAAGCAAAGTGAAACAAAATAATGTTTAAAAAAATCGAATAAATCAGATTTTCTCAAAGATCAAACTAAATTGATTGAAATCACTGTAATTAGAAATTAGTCGTTTCATTGTTAGACTCATGTTTAAGTATGAAAGATGCATTAATCAATTTGAGAAATCAACGACAAACATGCAGAATAGTTATTTACTCAAACGTAGTTTCGTTTAATTAGCATCTTTTTATAGATTAAAACTTGTTCGTAAATGAAAACGACTCAATTTTTTAGCTATTTTAAAAGCTTTATTTTTTTTTTTTTTTTATTTCCCGTTCTGATTTGTTTGAAATAGGACTTCTCGTATCCCGAACTAACAGTAAGGGAAAAAAGAAGCTCAATGATTCGTTATACTCAGATTTTTTTTCACGTTCAGCCTCATGAGCACCTTCCTTCTTGAGTATTGTTTTCTTTAAATACAAAACAAATACATATATGAATCATCAACTGATAGACAAATACTAAATAAACGATATTTCCGGGATTAGTTTTGAGGCAAAGGATTGTTTTAAATTATCGTAGTAAAACAGGTCTGATTTAAATCACCTTGATTTTTATTCTCCCTGCTGGTTTAGATGGCATCTTATTTGTTACTCGATAGAATACTTAGCAGAAACTGTTGATAATATTTTGAGAAAATAAAGATCTACCTGTTCGTGATCTTTAGTATCGGGGTCGATCATATGGCTGTGTCCGTCAATGTTATTGATTCTTAATACCTGTTGTAGCAGCCTCTTTATGTGAAACAGCTAAAAAAAATAAAATAAGACGAACCCTCTTTCTGAAACCTTCGCATAATTGGGTCGACATTTTCAAAACCAGTCGTTTCGATTTCGGAGCTAATTCTGTCATTAAGTTTAAGAGTATTGTAATAAATGCACTACCATAGGTAGTACAATAACATACAAAATCAGATAATAGAGTCTTGAATCATTAGTAATTGAACGCAATTTCTTTAAATCAGACTTAATTAGATATTGTAATCTAAAGTCCTAGCGGGCATCAGAAAAGTGGCTAATAAGGGACAGAAGAGGCTGAGGTACATAATGTTTATTGAGATAATTACAAATCTCGCACAAAACACCACTTGCACGATCGCGGAAATATGACGTCCGCCTTACCGTAACATGTTTGCTTCTTTCTCTGCGACGCAGCATGCGTCCCTACAATAAATTTAAGTGCTGCGTTATTCTCAATTACCCGAAGGCCTAGAAGCCGCGTGAAAGCCCTCCTCACACGAGCTACCTTCACCTCCGTCGCACCTCCAAACTTCTCGACCACTTTCCGAAATGATGTACCTTCCGCCGTAACAGCTAAACACTCCTCGCTCTCCACGCGAGCGCCGCACTTCCACGCGTAATTCCGCGTCTCCAGTATACGCGAATCTCCCGCCCGCAACACGAGTCAACCACGACCGAGCGCTCCTCCCTGAAGCTTTCCAACCCCAAACACCACAAACAAACGCACACCGAACAAAGACTCCGGGGTACATACGAAGAGACCGCCCGCGCTTCCCGCAAACTACGTATCGCGGGGAAAACTTCCCCCTTACGGCCAACTCATCCGGTGCCGGCAAAAGCCTTGTGAAACGTTATCTCTCCTGCGTGGTTGGTTCTTGTGGATTCAGTTAGCGAGCAGTGCCTCATTTCCGTCTAAACTGACAATGCCACGAAGGGTTCCCGCTCTACTTCGCGTCGGCTTCTGATGGACTTCACCGGACGCTACTAGCCATCTCATCCAATTCAGTGCTGTGAACAGATATCACGTGACAAAGCGCCCCTCGCGTCTCGCCGACCCTTGCAATGATCACGTGACACTCACGCGACATTGGATTGTCCTAGTCTGCTCGCGGTGTCCGCCGCGGTCTATCGCAAGGTAAAACGGAGTATAGCTTTACCAATCTGAAATACGGCCCGTCTACCACGTGACTGTACGCCCTCCCCGCTTTGGCGTGGGTGGAAGGTGGTGTCACGTGATTGTAATTGATCGCTGATTGGTGGAGCGGTCGCCTAGCTTCGACTCCGCTGTCAGCTTGGTAGCGAGCGACGTGCGAGACGAGCTTCTACGCGGACATCTACGACTGAGTCGTAGACAGCTCATGCATTATGCACGCAAATGCGGCCAGCCCGCGGCTCGCGTTGCTCGAGTAAGCTCTCGGGGTATTCAGTTTCTAAGCGGGACCATTCGTCCCAGTTTGCCGCAAACTTTGTTATATGAATCCCGGCCTAGGATTGCTGTGTCTTTCGTTTTTTTTTCTTTCCCCGCTCAGTGCGGAGCTTTAATCTGGCTACTTCCAAGGAGACATCACAGAGGATGTGAAGACAGAACGGTACAACGCATCTTGTTTCCGTTTGCAGATATGCGACACTGTTAGCTCAGAGGCAGACCGTCTCGTTCATTCGGTAAACTTGGGTGCTACATTACCTAGGCGCCGAGCTGTGGTGCCGCCTTTGACTGGCAGGACTAAGCAGGCCTTTGCGAACTTGGATTTCTTGCGCAAGCGTTCCTTATAACTTTCATTGAGATAGCTCAGACGAATCGAGGAATGAACACTTCGCCCTGAGATATGCCACAGAAATAGTCATCGAGTACAGTTGTGTACCACATATTCCCCATTACATTCCGCACCTGATGTATATAGTCGGCAAATGTAAATTTCGGCTGATTCGTGTATTTTACGTAGGCAGTCCGCACCTGGTGCATATTTTGTACCGTGAGCTGTGGCTGTACGTAAAAATATTCTCCTACAGAACAAACGTCAAACACTTGGCTGCTTTATTAGCGCACAAAGAGCTTGCATCATAAAAAAAATGTTAACATAATCTGTCTTTCACAAAATGACAAATCTCGTCATAAGACCATCGTTAAAAAACAAATCTGGTATTGTCCGCGCTTGTAGAAAGATCTCAAAATTTAAGATTTCAACCTTTAAAAATACCTTGTCCGCGGACTGTTGTGTGCAAAATACGGTATTAGTATAGGGGACGTTGTACGGACACCGTCATTCAACTGATCCGCTTGGTATTGATGAGAATCCCACAGTACGACAGTGACGTCCTCTTTGTCGTCTTCAGTAGTTATTTGATTGACGATAGCCTAGAAAGCGGAGCCTAGCGGCGCACAACAGAGATTTATCTTGCGTTTTCTTGTGCGCGCAACATTTAATTATCGATTAAATTGCTACCTGGTAACTCTTCATCGGTAAGCTTAAATATTTTAGGTGCTTCGTTACAACAAGATTCAAGCAAAAACTACAAACAAGTGAACAACGGTGACGCTACTTGATTCACACAGCGCAGACGTACAGCCAATCGTGGGAGCCTGCGATCTGTCGGAACACCTCCGCTTCTGTGGTCGGAAGGAAGTGAACAACGTGTCAAATATACACTGCCACGCTCCCGCCGCTGTATCAAACCATTCCGTGGACCAATGATAAAGTGCAGTTGCCATGACGAGTTTTGGGACTTCATCGAGACATGCGCCTTATTAACGGATTATTTTTGTATCGCGAAAAGCAGTGGCTCGCCGCATTGAATGGTAAATGTTAACAAGCTTGCCGTTCCGCTTCTATACGAGTGTGGTAGCCTCTATGAATGAACACTTTTTAAACTTTGGTGTAGAAAGTTGACGCTTTAACGTTATACGGTGAGAAAGTGTTTCAAAATGCATTTTTCGCGTATCGGAACGCGACGAGGACGATACCAATCAAAGGGAACTATCTTGAACGCGCAGACAACGCACGACGACGAAACAGCCAAACGCGCGCCGCCATTGGTTGGGGTTGGGGGAAAACAAAAACACGTGCGCGCGATTGTGGGCTAAAGAACGCACAAGGAGCACAAAAAGCAGACGAGGCAGGCCGTATGGTAATATATTTTGTGTGCAATGGCAATTTGCCAGCTTGTCTTGCTCATTTTATACACTTTCTGTATCTCCCTCCTAGAGTGTCGTGCCAACCCGCAAGAACAATGCGGCTGAATACGTCCCTATTCACGTATTTAGTATTACATCCTATACAGTACGGATACTCACGGAGTGTGGTTGCATTCGATTGATTGATTTAAACACGTCTTTAGTGGCAGAGATTCACCAGCTTCTGTCCTCTTACATTCGCAGGGGGAGCTGGCGGAATGCGAATCTTTTCTTTGTTTATTGGTGTTCTTCGCGTGGTTGATAACTCTAAAAAAAGTGTATGCTTTAGAGTATGAGTATGGATGGTTCTACTTCAGGTAATGTAATTTGGTGTTTGATACTAACCTGTATTAATGAAGTTCAGAAAAGCGACCTCGTAGTGCCCATGGCAACCG